GAAGGTGACAAAAATCCCCAAATGCTTTAGTCCCTCAAATCACCTTTCCCCCAAGGACCGGGTGGCTCGTGGGAGCCCCCGCCGTCCTACAGGTGGGAGAACGCCTGGGCTCTGCGACTTTGGGGCCTGCGGGTGGCGCAGGGACCAGAGACTCTTATTTTGAAGGGCGGCCCCCACCCGCCACCCCCGTGATTTGCACGCTGACCCAATGGCAAGCCCTTGGCCGGCGCTGGGCTTGTTATCAATTACATGTTGTTCCTGCAGCCGCTGTGTCCCCGGGAGGATAAACAGCAGGCCGGGCCGGGCCTGGGGGGAGGGGGCGGAGTCCGGCTGTAGGCCGGGGACGGTGCCCGGAACAGCGTGTCCCCTCCCCCTGCACGCAGCCTGTGCTTCTGGCCATGCCATGTGCTGCTGTGTTTTAGCTTCCTAGCCGGCTCCCTCCAGCCCCGGCGGGCCCTTTTTCTATCGCCAGTGCCCCCGGGTGTCCCAGAACCCCTTCTCTGCTTTCAGTGCCTCAGTGTGCAACCCTGGCTGACCAGCCCTGCCTGAAAACCCTGCTGCCTGACCCTGGCCATTCCATACCTGGGAGAATCCCCACACCCCCACCCCCTGCCCAGCTTCCCCAAGCACCTCTCACACAACCAGCGCGTTCTACCAGGTCCTGTTTCGGAGGCTGGGGTGGTGGCAGACTGGGTAGTCAGAATAGCTTCTATTTTGGTGGGGAGGTAAACAGAAAAGTACACAAACCCATAACCAAGATGATTTCCCCCCTGGTTACCAACTACTGGAAGAATAGTGTGGGATGATTTAACAGATGGTGGCCAGGGGAGAGCCCCACAGGCAGTGTCTTCTGAGCTGAGCTCTAAATAAGGCACTCCCACTTGGAGTGTTGGGAGAAGAGGGGCCCACAGAGACAGCACAGTTAAGGTGGAGTGGAGCAGGTGAGGTGAGATGTGGGAGAGATGGGCAAGGCCCAGGTGCTGGGAGAAGATGGGGTCACATTTCCTAGGGAAGTTATTGGATGTTTTCTCCTACCCTACCCTACCCTACCGTACTTACTCCTCCCCCCTCCACACTATTTCTTTTCATACCATTTCATCTGTGAATATCTAATTATCAACTATAATACCATCATCACACTTAAAAATATGAACACTAACTCCTTACTATCATGTAATATTCGGTTGGTGATCACATTTCAGGGGAGAGTTTTAAGTGGGCAAGAACATGGCCTGATCTGCCTCTTAACCACTAGTTAAGGCCTGTTCCTAGGTTCTAGGAAGGCTGGAGTCTCTCTGATTCCTTAGGATCACATCGGAGAGGCACAAAGACCACGTGTTCACCCATTTGGAGGTTAATCCTAATGGCTGGTACTGACCAACGCCTGAGTGCATGCCAGCCACTGTAGGAAGTGTTCACCTGGTGTTAGCTCATTGAACTCTTTGAGTAACCTGGGAGCTAGGCACTACTGGCAGCATCCCTAGCCAACAGACCGGACACAGAGCAGTTGTGCCACCTGCCCGAGGTTGCCCAGCTAAGTTGCAGAGGCCAGAGCAGAGCCCCCTGCTCAGAGGGTGGGCCAAAGTGGTGGTGGGGGGGCCCAGGGCCCAGTGTGGGCTCCGCACAGCCTTGTTGCCCTTCACGTTATCTGGTACTTTTATTCCTTCCTGGCACCTGATTGGGTGAATAGCATGTATTTTAAAACTTCCAGTTTTAAATCCTCAGATAAGTATTAACAATTAAAGAGCCAAATATCCTCCTGGCAAAACTGCCCTGGGGTATGGACTCGCCAAAGGCATCCACCCTGCCTTAGCTTCCTGGAGCTGCATGAAGCTTCCTGGATTAGTGGGGAACTGAGGTCACTGGGGCCCAGAATAGATGGGGAAACTGAGATTCGGGGAGTGAGGACTTGTCCAAGGTCGCAGCTGATGATGATCCTGGCCCTGACAGGTTTCTGTCCATGGCCAGACCTGTCGGCCGTAGAGTATGCTGTGTGCTAAGTCCAGCAGTGGCCCTCGAGACAGAGCATAGGAGTGGGTGCAGAGTGGGGATAGGCAGCAGAGAATCTCTGGTTTTAGACGTGGAACATTCCCTGTTCCCCAACCTCACTGGTCATTGGGCAGGGACAAAGGTCCACAGAGGTGGCTCCATCATAGCCATACACTGTTGACTCTCCTTGGACACCGGACCTAGCATGGCCTTCAGAGGACACAGATGTCCCCTCTCTTCTCTGTTGATGTTCCCTGAGGCCCTCCTGGGCACTAGCTGCCATGCCGGAAGCTGGGAACACAGTGGGGACCCAGCAGAGCAGCCTGCCTTCCTGGAGTTCACGGTCTAGTGGGAAGACGGGAGTTAGCTGGGCCTTCTTGAGGTGGTGAGTGCTCCATGGGGTACAGGCCAAGGGCATCCTCTCTCTCATCCCACTAGGTGGTCGTGTAGTCACATGGGGTAATAGCCGTGCAAGTACTCTGGGACCTGGGTCCACTTTTGCCCTTGTGAGTTATCACTGTGGGGCAGGGCCCTGTCCACCCCATGGTAAAGCCTCAGTAAAGTGTCTGGGTACAGTCAAGAGCCTTTTGTTCTGTCCCTGCCTCTCCCACTTCAC